ACAACTGAATCTCCCATTACGGGATAAACACCCACACTGAGCATCCATAACTATGAGCAATACTTTATCATATATTAATTCACTTTCACCAACTCAACTTGTATCAACTATCTCAATAACATTAGTCAAAACAACATAAACTAAGTGTACGTGCATATATCTCAGTGTGCGTGTAATATGAACAATACTTGTCAAAATCCCCTATTGGGTTTCTCATATGTGTGCTACGACAATATTCATATGTGCCCATGACTGCACGTGTAACATCGTGCGGCTCGAACTCCGCGAACGCAAACAAAACGACGCAAACAACACTCAGAAAATAAACTGGATCGCCCAGCGGTCGACCGTCGCTAAGCCCGCGGTCGACCAGCCAGCACAAACATTCACGAACAAGGTCGGCGGTCGACCGACACTATAGCGGCGGTCGACCGGACAGGACCAAAACTGGTTCTCAGGCTTTGAACTTGCAGAACTTATAACTCATTAAAAACATGTATTTTGTCATTATAAATCATATGACAAGATTAAAACTTGATTTCTACATATTAGAAAAATATCTCATGATTTCTTAAACTCTTGATTTAATCTAATCAAGCTTAACATCCCAAATAAGCAATTTTTTCACAAGAACCTTAGTTATCGACAAAATTAGCATAAATATACTTGCATGAAACTTGAAACAGATGTAACAATTATTTATCCACATTTTTAGATCTTGTTTGCCCTAAACCTAGGATTTTAAGCATCTCTAATCAACATGTAAACTCGTTAAAACATAATAGATCTTGTTTGCCCTAAACCTAGGATTTTAAGCATCTCTAATCAACATGTAAACTCGTTAAAACATAATTCTAGGGTTTAAACATCTTTAAAACAAAGCATCTCTAATCAACATGTAAACTCGTTAAAACATAATTCTAGGGTTTAAACATCTTTAAAACATGAACAAGATAAAAACAAATTTAAAAGCAACCCTAATGATCATGACCACACTTCTATTATAAACAACAAGAAAAACATATAGATCTAACATTTGTTTACAGTCTAACATCAAAAATCTAGTCTTTTAACACTTCAGGTTAAGATTTAGATCTAACATCAAAAATCTAGTCTTTTAACACTTCAGGTTAAGATTTAGACATGTAAACACAAATTAAACATCTAAACTAGTTATTTAACTATGTTTAACACTTCAGGTTAAGATTTAGACATGTAAACACAAATTAAACATCTAAACTAGTTATTTAACTATGGGGATGGGTTTGGATGCTAGTGATCTTGCCTTTGCACGTGAACACGCCTCTAAAACGAATAGCAAAAGATCTCTCGACACCAAACGTCACAATTCCTCTCCTTTCCTTCGACAAACACTCTGAGATCTCTCCCAAAACTCATAATAGGGTTAGGGTTTGAGGAGGAA